ATATATCTTTTAATTAGCTTCATCATTTATTCACCTTTGTAATAATTACCTAATTTATTTGTTGTCTGTTATAATCTTCAACTTAATTTATTTATTACATATTTTTTAAGTATTTATTTATGTGTATATTCTAATATTTTTGTCTGTTTTATTCTATGTCATTTTTAGGGGGCGTGTCTAAATTTCTACCTACATTTATACTGTAGTTACATAAAATTAATTGTATGCATATTTATTTATTGAGCATTTATTTATTTTTGTGTTTATTTTTAAATATGGTGGAGCTGGTCCTCCATAGAACCAAACAGTTTGATGCTGCATTGATTCTGACAGAATACTGACCCCTGCTGGACATTAAAAGACACTACAGGCATCTGATTGGACAAACTAAATTGAATTGATTTGATGACCTAGAACAGGCATCGCCATAGTGGGCCCCTGAGGGCCGCCGTCCTGCAGGTTTGCATTGATGGTTGATTAAAAGGCTTTAGCTGAACTGGGATCATCAGAATCAGCTGAAGCAGAGAAACGTCTAAAGCCTGCAGGACAGCGGCCCTCAGGGACCCACTTTAGGGATAACTGACCTAGATCAATGATATCAGTGTTTCCCATTAATGAAAGAGGCCCACCACAGTCTGATATAGATATATAGATATAGAGAGAGAAAACAACAAGAACAAAAAGATCAGTCAGTTTATCAGACCGTTCCACAGCTGTACTTTCATTCCGCCCGTAACCCGTCGCCATAGAGACACAAATTGTTAGATTTTTTTCAAAGCGCGTCCCGCCCTCCTTTATAAAAATGCATCCCTGGCTGCCCGGTTCCCCCGTGCCGTGTTGCCAGCTCGGCGACTTTGTCGCTATATTTAGACGCTTTTCAGACGCCGCCAGTGAATCTTTTTCAATAAAAGCGACTAACGACAAATCTAGCGACTTCTCTGGTGTCACTGGCGGCTTCTGGAGACTCTTAGATGAAAACACGTATCGTTCCTACCCTTGACCTCCAGCAGCAGGTGCTGCCATGGGCGCCTCCCCCATC